TATAAAGACCTTCTTGAAATATTTTAATATCATTGAATTAACTTGCCGCTATATTCAAATATCTCCGAGAGAGGTAAAGTTTATCGGTTTATTCCGGAGGAAGGGCACGCAATACGCGAACAATGCAATGGCTCGTCGGCCGAAGAGGTACAATAGCAGTCAATAATGCGTGTGATTTGTGCAATAAGCGGCTATTGCACGCGCAGCCGGCGCCGCGCAATTCGATGCTGCGAAATCGTTCCGCCTCGGAACATCGCCGGCGCACGTGTGTGCCCGGCTACGCGATATCCGGTGTAGCGTGCATCGCCGATGTTACGTGCATTTGCGCTTGTCATTACGCGCGTCGCGCGGCCCGATACGTATCGAGGTGCATCGTCATTTTCGTTGATGCCGCTTAACGATATACGCCGATTATAGTCTCGGACTGATATCGCCGTCGTAAACATGGCTTGCGCCTGCACAAATCGAGATAATGACGGGGCATGTACAGAATTACTGCCGGAGGTATTTCGTTACGCGCGAGAGATAAATAAATTTAAGATCTCACTTCACGGATATCTCACTTCGAATGCACCGAAATGCGTTGACACATAGTCAGGTATCAAAAAGCAATGAGATAACCCGATCCGAGAGAGTTGAAAAAAAGAAAATAACATTTCGTTTATTTTTCACTTCCACGTGTATTAAAATGTAAATTAATCTATCTCTGTGATTAGTTTCAGAATAAATAAACGTCCATGTTACTGTATGCACTTGGTAAATAATAAACTGAATTTGAATCAAATTTAATACATTTTCTTCCGTTAAATTGTTTAACTGCGTGTGTATTTGAATTAATGTCATATTAAGTAGGAGTAATAGCGGCCTATAGAAATAATTAAAAATAACTCACATTGTTATAATTTGACATTATAAATTTAACAGTGCATGCTTCGTATTATGTTAATCAGAAGATTAAACTTTCTGTGATAATTATACAAAGGATATCAAATTAATTAAGATTATAAATTTATGTACCGTGTTTATCGATATTATTTTTATTACATATATATTCCACTCATTTCATATTCATTCCTGCCTTAATGTGTACCTAAAAACGGTTGATGACCCTAATATCGAATTCAAAAGGCATAAAAAGGCCAAGCGGAACGTTACGACGAATATCAACCGAAATGTCATCCTATACATCTTCGAAACGGTTGCCAATCGACATTATAGCGTCCGATAATAAAATCCCTTTCGAATAATTCCCTTTCGTACAAACGGACCCGCGCCAAATTCCACCCTCAAAAATCGCGCTTGGTATTCGCGCATCGTCGATCGATCGTAAAGATCGATGGATAGTGCACGATACGCGTTTCGTAACCGAAACGAAGGATCAGTGGTCCATGCGGGACAGCGGATAACGCGCGCGGGATCAGGAAGGGGGAGGAAGGGAGGGAATGATGATGCAGTCGATGGGTGGACGATGCTCACGCACGCGGTGCATCCGGGGATCGCCACGCTGCTCATGCTGGGGGAGGGGGGGGGAGGGGAGGGGGATCCGACGCGTTCGGTCTGTGCGAGTCCGGGAGACAGGACAGGGCTGTGGCGGTTGTGTCACGCCGCTACGCCATGCCATCGATGCCACTGCTCGCCGCGCCGCATCGCATCGCGCCGGTTCGACCGCCGGTAGGCGAGATAGCGACTCGGGATAGGATACATATAATTACCGGAGAGAGGGGATCGTGCTCCATTTCACACATCGCACACCGTGTGATCGCGTCACACGGCCGACGCCTCGCCGCTTCACGTATGCGGCCCGCCCTGCATTCTGTATGCGCTCTGCGCGCATTCTCTCTCTCTCTCTCTCTCTCTCTCTCTCTCTCTCTCTCTCTCTCTCTCTCTCTCCATATTCGTGTATCGGATGGATCGATTCGGATTTCACGCAACACCGCGATCGAATGGCTGTGCGCCGCGTTTCCTTTCTCATCAAAGATCGAAGAGACCAGGGGATGGTTATTGCCGCGTCCTGATGCGTTTGCACACGTATATATTTTGTGAATTTTCATCGCGGACGCGGTTAATTATCTACCGCAGCGTGCATTCAACTCCACGAATGTAAAATACCTATTACGTAAATAATAAAGTATCAATATATGCATTTATAAAAAAAAATATATTTTCTAATTTACGTGATATCAACGTTTGCAGAAATTCTGTTTAAAACACGCAAATGCCTAAGATG